TTTACTAATAGGCTTTCTATACACTTTAAATGGATCATTGACTACATTGGCCACTTTTGGACCAACCGGAGTGCCCCCGGGGGAACCTGTAGTAGGGAACAAATTCATTTTTACACCAAAACATGCCGTGTGACAGCTCTTTCTTCATGCTTTTTTACCAATAGGCTTTCTATACACTTTAAATGGATCATTGACTACATTGGCCACTTTTGGAACCACCGGAGTGCCCCCGGGGGAACCTGTAGTAGGGAACAAATTCATTTTTTTCAATAATCATGCCGTGTTACACCTCTTTCTTCATGGTTTTTCATCAGTAGGATTCCTAAAGACTTTAAATGGATTATTGACCACATTGGCCACTTCCGTAACCACCGAAGTACCCCCAGGGAACCTGCAGTAGGGTACAATTTCATTTTTACACCAAAACATGCCTTGCGACACCTCTTTCTTCATGGTTTTGCATCAGTAGGCTTTCTATAGCATTGAATGGATCACAACAACTGGAAAACAGGTTATCAGCTGATTTTCGAAATACTAATACAGATGCAAGTCAACATCAAGGCTATGCTATGATTATCTTGGTCGCAATGTTCATTGCTTACATTTTTCATAGCGAATCGCAAAGAATGAATATGCATCTCTGTCTCTTTCTCTTTTTCAATCTGATCTCACTACATACTCGCAGCGTGTGAGTATAGTCACATGAACACAGACAAAAGCAAAATTTGAATATTATGTAAGGATGAACTAAAATGCAACCCTGGAGTAAAATGCGTTGTTTTTCGTTGCTTCCCATTTGAGTGAGGAGCGTGTTCCCACCATCGACGTCTGTTAAAAAGTTGGAAAAACTTTTGATTGACGATTGGTATTAAATACCTTTTGAAACAATTCATAAACCGTACGATTCAATTCCCAGACTAGTCCAAGGCTAATCCTTGCTTCCGAAAAAATCTCTCTCAATGTTATTATTGAACTTTCATCGGTGTATACGAAACTTTTCATATCTTTGCATATCTTTTCATATCGTCACATCTTACATGTTGCAAAACGTAATGAAAAAAGAGCTGTCATACGGCATGTATTGGTGTAAAAATATAATTGACCTCTGCTATAGGTTCTCCGGGGGCATCTCGATGGTTTCGAAACTGGCCAATATGGTCAATAATCCACTTCTACAGAAACCTTTTTGATGAAAAATCATGAAGAAAGAGCTGTTGCACGGCACATTTTGGTTCAAGCATGTAATTGTCCTCTGCTAAAGGGATCCCTCCCCCAGAGACATCCCGGATGTGCGGAGAGCAGCCAATCTATTCAATGATTCAATTCAAGTCTTTAAAAAGTCTTTTGATGAAAAACCGTGAAGATAGAGCTGCCATACGGAAGGCTTTGGTGTAAAAATGCAATTGTCCCCTGCTTCAGGTTTCCGTGAGGCCTCTTGGTGGTTCAGTGAGCGGGAAATGTGATCAATGATCCAATTAAAGTTTATAGAAAGCCTACTGATGAAAAACCATGAAGAAGGAGGTGTCGCATGGCATGTTTTGGTGTAAAAATGAAATTGTACCCTACTTCAGGTTCCCCGGGGGTACTTCGGTGGTTCCGGAAGTGGCCAATGTGGTCAATGGTCCAATTAAAGTCTTTAGAAATCCTACTGATGAAAAACCATGAAGAAAGAGGTGTCACACGGCATGATTTTTGTAAAAATGAATTTGTCCCCTACTACAGGTTCCCCCGAGGGCACTCCGGTGGTTCCGGAAGTGGCCAATGTGGTCAATGCTCCATTTAAAGTCTATAGAAAGCCTATTGGTAAAAAACCATGAAGAAAGAGGTGTCACATGGCATGTTTTGAGTGAATGAAAGAACTGACCGCACTCAGAACCCTCCCTCAGGACCGATTCCAGGGAAATGGCCATATCTCGGTTGATTCTGAGTCGATTTTAGCTCTTGGTACGTCATTTGCTTTAAAAATGGTTCTATTTTTGGCGTATGAACAAAAAACACAGATTAGTAACGGACACTCTGAGAAAAACTCATCACAAATTTAGCAATTTAGACATGCCCTCAGAAAACCCGGAATATCTCCGGTATCCGGTAGCCATGGTCACTTTCATTACCCCACCATAAAATTTGATTAGTTTTCTAGTCGAATGTTTCTTGAAGATTGAAAATCGAACAATATTTAACGAAGTTATAACAGTCCAAAGTTGGACAAAATTTTGCTAGTACCCTATATTTCTCACAACCCCTGTACATTTCATTTGACACATGATCTTCATTAACTTTTTGCAAGGCGTTTGCTTATTAGTTGACTTATACATTTTATGTATAATCAGCAATAGAAATTTGCCAAAAAGTTATAAGGAGATTTCTATCCGTGTAGTGTTGCCATGTGATACACTGAAAAATTGCAATAGCAGTTTCTTTCACCGCTCCGTCTGTCACTTCGTTTGTGCTGGTACTATCTTCAGTCCCAATCTAATCGATTCACCTCTCGAAACATAGGAAAATCCACGAACCCCTCATTTTATCTGTCAAACTTTCATAGTGAATCAAAACACACATTGTGTAGTACTAGAATGTTGACTAGAATGGGGTACGTTATGGTACGTTCATCGATGTACTTGGGACCGATAGGCCAATTTAAAATCGTAAGTTTCCACCGGTTGGTACATAAAATTTCGAATGTTGAGACTTTAAAACAAATGTCTAACAAAATAATTAATAATTTCAGGCAAACATCGTTGCAATCCTCAATTGCAACGATTAAATCCCTTTATACTTAGATAAGATGTAGTTTTAAGATGTCAATTGTTTTAGTGACATGCAAGTTTAGAAAACCGGTTTAAAATACTGAATTGCCAAGGCAGAAACAATGTAAAAACATAAATATAACAATTAAGGCTGGTAACCCTTATAAAATTGTTCATCATCCAAACCATTTCTCGGATAGTTCTATTATTTGGGTTATCGTTCGCTTATGGTAATTTTTATTAAGGAAGTTACTGTAGAAGCTGGAGCACCTAGGTTACAATGAAATGTAATTTATTCTAAATTTGGAACAAACAAAGCGTTTTAAAAAATATAGAATCAAACGGCACGTGGACGTGCAAACGAGCACAGGCGTATTCAGAAGCGAAGTAGCCAACCTGGCAGTGTTGGAAGTCCGAGGAGGTAAATCTGGAACTACTGAAGGCAGTGTACCGGAGTTACGGGCTGGGGTGTGTTGACACCACTGGGCTTCTGCTGTACTCGCGACCTGCCTGCCGTGAAGTGCGATAAGTGAGATACGAGTTGTATACAATCGCATATATACGATATCGGTCTACAGAGGTACGGATGAAGTAGGAGCTAATCAAACCGAAGCAATAGTGTTATTTCTATGAAAGTTTAGATTAGTTTTGGAACAGCAGTAGTTAAATAATTCAATAGTGTTTAATGTGAGATAATCGCACCAAAAGACACGAGCGTGGATGTTTGTCTGTGGAAAATATGAACTTTTATTTTTAGTGGTAATCAAATGTGAATAAGCATAAGCTGCCTGTATTTTGTCGCCATATACGAGCAGAATGCACATAATCAATTAATATCTCAATAATACTAACTTGTATCGTGATGCTGTCTTCAGCAAAGTTGTTCCTTATAGTTTAAGCAACGTGTGCTGAAATTCTGAGCTTAATCGAGTTTGCTGAACCAGTTCTATGCCCGAAAGAGTGAAGGAATATTGCTTCTCCATACATTTCAACCAATATCCCCATATAAATTTTAAATCAAAAGGGGAAGCTCGTGTTACATCCGAATGAGCTGAAATTTCCAGAGAGTTATATTCTTACCTAATGGCCATAAAAACGGGAGTTGTCCCGTTTGAAAAAAATATAAAAAATTTCCCCCGTATAAATGGGGACCAGTCTAATATTACATCCAAACAGCAGCACATTGGTTGTTGTGTAATATTACGCTGTACGATGTACACAGAATTTGAAAACAAATAATTTTGATGAGTATAATATTGTATTCACTTTTACCAGCATTGACGTTCAATAACTCATCATGAATAACAATGGTTAATACATATTATATTTATTTGCTGTGTACACATTTAAGTGATCCCGCATAAATGCGAACCATTACAATTGTTTATAATCTCGGCTAAATTTTAACTGAAATGGTTACGGAACTGTACATGAACGTTTGTGTGATAAAGATTTTTTTTTCTTTATTAAAGAGACTTTCAGCCTTGGGCTGGTTTGTCTCTAGGTGTGTGATAAAGTTTTAATATTATGTATTATGGTTTTTTGGAAGTGAACCTTACAAATAATGGGTTGTTAAGAACCATTGCCATTCATGTTTACTCCATACATTTTCGGAAAAGGAATTATATTCGCGATATAAATATTCAACGTAAAGTTGATCGATAATACAAAACCATCCTGAAGTGACGAACCAGCCGCTGGCTGAAAGTCACTCTGTTTCACAGCTCATGTTTTCGGTGTTTACCTTGCAGAACCTTGCAATTCACATAGCATTGAAATGCAAAACACTTCCATCCATATGTTTTGAACAGTAATGTGATTCAATGTGCAATATACTTGAATTGATAGAGAAAGACTATCAACATTGCAAAGTTTGAAACACTAGAAATTAACGTGTAGAACACATTGAACCATGGTGAAATACACTTAAATTAAATATGATTGTGTATATGGAAAATCAAGTGTTTAAACCCTTCAATCAGACGTGTGGACTTTTTTGAGTGTGCATAGGGTGTAGCACCATTTCGGCATACCTCACTTCACTTCGGCATATGCCTCTTAAATCAGTCTTCCTACAGTGCTGTACATTTTTTTTACAGCATTCGTAATTTAACTCGTGAGGAAAAACACCAAAAACAGCAAATATACCTAAACTACTGTTGTAAACAAAAACACATAATCAAGCAAATTTAAAAGTAAAAAGCATACTCCTTGTTTATTTGGATAATAACACTAGTGGATGAAACAGCTTCGTTCTGTACAAACAAGGGGACATTTACTTAGACAAATATCCTAATTAACAATTGCATTTATCCCACGCTCCTTCTAGCGAGATCATATTACATCTGGTGGACAGGTTAGAATTGGAATAATCGGTGCGATGCTATTCTGCGGTGTGGTTCTAACCAACAACCTCAAGCTGTTGACAGTTGGTATTCGGTCAAACTCTTCCTGCATTCGTCATCATGATCTTTCTCGAACCCAAAGCAGGTGAGCCAATTGAAGATTAGAATTAATATTCCTGCAAGATAGGCAGATTACACCGATAAATCACACGGTCAGGCGTCGTTCTATGTGTGCACTATAATACCCATAAACGCATAACCGTCCCATTAGATTAGGGACTCAAGCAAATATGTGACTGTTATGCTTTTATGGGTAGAATAGGTTGTGGTATATTCGCTCAACTTGATCATCTTGCGACTCTGTATAGGTAGATGGGCTTAATCAAAAGGCAACGAGCGGGGAACAAACAAATGGGACAGTTTCCAATTCAGGTTGAGGGAATTTTGACTGTTATTAGTTACCGAGTGCGAGCCGAGCGACTGACGGGTGAGGTGGCCAATATTCACTTTCAGAATCTGCATCGCTAGTAATTAAGAATTTGGCGTTTAGTCGAAGCTGTGGAATAAGGGATAAGGTAATGTGAAACATGGCAGGCACATGTTCTCGATAGGTATCTATCACTAAATGGAAAGGACATGAACCAGCCAAAGCAAAACACACAAATGCAGATGATTTTTGTTTTTGGTAAAAAATGCTTTTATCGTCTATTTTTATCTTGTTCCATTAATCATGAATATTATAATAATATACATTTCAGCTAGTTGGTTTTCTTCGCGCCATCTCGGTACATACATTTGCATCTAAAAGTCCTTTTTACTTATGGATATACGTTCACTCCTCGGTGATATATTATCGATAAAAATGTGTCTTACATTAGCTTGGATTAGTTTTACGAATAATTAATGAAACAATGCTCTTGTAGTGTAAAATGTTGGCCTCTCGTTTTTGCTATGCTTCCTATGCATGTGCCACTCACGCGAAGACTTCAACACGCTTTCCGTAACAAATATTCAACTAAATTTGTTTAAAAACTTTCCAACCGTTTCTGATGGTTCTCTCTCCCGCTCTCTTTCTCTCTCTTTTGGCTAAAGTAGTTAGCTAAACATTATTTCATTTTATAAGTCGTCTAACTAAAATCCCGTATTCTTTTGCTCGTTCGTTGGTTGCCGTTTTAGTTTTCCCAACCGCTTCTGCTCTATTCCATCAGCTCTCACCGCTTGTCTACAATACAGAAATAAGCTCATCCTTTTGAAAATAAGACAAAAAAAAAATTCTCACGCGTCAAAATATAGGTCAAAATGTTTCTCATCCTACACACTGGGTGGAAGGCGATACCTTTACAATATATGGGCTGCTTACTTGTATGATATCCTGTTGACGGTGTGTATAAGTTTAGCATTATTGTGGTTTGACTTAACGTACACTAATATTGATGTCTTATTTTGCTCATTTATTGACATTCTCCTTCTCGATAATCGGAAGCAACTTGGTATTACATATTTGGGAGGCATATTTGTTTATATTAATTTTTTTTTTCAATGGGACAGTTATGTTTGTTGACGAGTACTTTCACCGACATTAAAATTTATTTTTCCAAATATTGCAGATTTCGCATTCATTAGACTTCTGCACTAATAATAAGTACTCAGTAACATTTGCGCACTGGTTATTAAATTAAAATATTGAACTTCATAAAGTTTTCTAGTGCTCGAATTCATTACTAATTATTTTTGTACAGGAGTCTAAAGTAGTTACAAAATGCGCAATATGATTTCTTTCTTTTATGTTTTTTGCTGTTATCGACTGATATTGATGTAGGAGGGACCGTAATTAATAACTGATCAATGTTAACCAATCAAAACTACTACACTGGAACTGAAATTAACCAAACAACCATTAAAATCGGCTTAGTTATGTAAGTTTGAAATCATTTCAAAATAATCAGTTTAGATAAAAATCCATACCTTTATTAAACAGAAGTCGACATTGATTACGCTGAGCTTCAAATTACGTATTCAATGCTGTTAAGCTTATAAAACATGGCAGGCCTTGGTGGGCTGGACATGTGACTGGATACTGTATGAGTGACAAGCGAAGATGGTATTCAGCTGTATTCAACAGAGAACCCTAAAGAATTTATCAATTGTAAGGCATACCTTGTAAACCCTGGTTTTTTTGCAGTTGAAGAGAACATTAGGTCATTTCACGTCTAGAGCGACTGGAACAGATTGACTCAGGACCGAGTTCAGTGGAAAACAATTCTCCTTTCAGCGTAGAACAAAAAAAAATGATTTGCAGCTCATTTAGGTTCTCCCGCAAATGCAGATCATAACCAAATTCGTTAAATATTGGTACAGTTATTGGGGATAGAGCAATGTTGATCCACCCTAGTGCCCATGGATTCCGTGGTTAGGAAATCTGAGATGCTCAAAAATTTGATCAACAGTTGACAAATTTAATTCTGTATCATTTTTGCAAGGATCCTGCTAGGGTTCAGTTGTTGAGAAAAATGGAAAATTATAATAGTGCCTTAGTGGTTATGAACTTCCGGATTTCTTGTGTGTGGCAATTGGCAAGATTGCTATAATTTGCGTCAACGAAACGTCAACCAAGCCGCTTGTTCACATCAGAATAAGGATTTTTCCCTTATTCTGATGTAAACAAGCGGTTTGGTTGACGTTTCCTCTCGAACTCACCTGGTGCCCTCTACATTAAAAAATACTATAATCCCATATTAGTCCCATATGGAAAAAGTAGGCATTGAGAAAATGGCAGTTGAAGTTACGAAGTGCAGTTCCCATGTAAATATTTGTATGATCAATTAATTGATACTTTATCAAGTTGAAATCAACAGCGGCGCCGATGGTGTAGTGGTAAGCGTGATTAATGATTATCTCTCACCCCAGCAGGCCTGGGTTCAATCTCAGTCGGCGCCGCCGGGATGTTCTAAGGCATAACATCTCTGATCACGCCTTCCTTCGTTGGTCTCAGTTCATAAGTTGATGAGTCGATAGGTAGGGTTCAGGTGTGGGAGCTGCCTCCCTGGCGTCGGTAGCATTGGTGCTCAGCACGGAAAACAAAATCGACGGAAAACAAATCAAGGAAAAAAAAAATTGGAATCAGTACAATGAAGCTTGCATGTTTTGTTATATCAGCGTAAAATATGGCGATCTAAAAAACAGAACTGTAACTTGACCTGTGGACGATCGAATTTCAGGATAGGACTGATATGCGATTACTTTGCACAATGGGACAAACTGCCTTGATGTTGTTTTGACATTTTTCATAATTATAGTCCGTAGTTTTATCAACAATCAATACGGAACTAACGATTTTAATTGGCTCACTACTTGACTAGCCCATTGGTCCCAAGCAAATCGATTACGTACCCCATTCTAGTCAAAATTCTAGTACTACACTATGTTTGTTTTGATTTGCTATGAAAGTTTGACAGATAAAATTAGGGGTTAGTGGATTTTCCTATGTTTCGAGGGGTGAATCAATTAGCTTGGGACCGAAGAGAGTACCAGAGCTGAGCCAAAAAGTTGAACACGTTTCTTCGGGACCTTCTTGTCTTAGAGTTACCTCTATGGTTTTTTTCACGTAGGCCCTACGTGGAGACGCTTCTAACGTACCGCAACAATAGGACTGTTTCCCCTAATATGAAAGTTGATGCCAATTGATAGTGGATAACGACGTTATCTTAAAATTGACAAAAATTCATATGGGACTGATATGCGATTATAGGCAGTAGCAGGGATGGAAAATCATTCACATTCATTTCGTGCATTCATTTACATTCATTTGCCTCTAACTTTTTTCATCAACAGAATTCCGTAAAATAGTGTTTAAAGTTTTTGTAGGTTTTTATATTACCTACATCTTTTGCAAACAACTCAAATCTGTATCTCCTATGCATGATAAATCAGAGCGATTAGAACCCACCATTGTTTTTCTGTGAATGTAAGTTCTATTCTGCCAGTTCTATTTCATCATGCATAAGAGATTCAGATTTTAGTTATGAACAAAAGTTGTAGCTAATAACAAAAGCTACAAAAACATCAAAAATCATTTAACGATATTCTGTTGATGAAAAAAGTTAGAGGCAAATGAATGTAAATGAATGCACGAAATGAATGTAAATGATTTTCCATCCCTGGGCAGTAGAGGTCTACCTGTGCGAGTAAACGAAATATTTGGAGATCAAACCAGATTTTCAATGCAAACGTGTAATCTGTGATGTTATACGTCAGCGAGGCGTGATATGCATCAGCGTTGAACACAGGTGCTCTTCAACCGAAACCGAATCCTTCTTCTTTATTTTAGTTTTGTCAAGCTAGTGTTCTTTTTTTCGTTTCCTTGATTTGTTTTCCGTACTGAGTACCAATGCTATCGACGTCAGGAAGGTAGCTCCCACAACTGGACCATACCTATCGACCCATCAACTCATGGAGCGGCAATCAACGGCTTTACTTCCCTTCCGAAGGAAGGCGTGATCAAAGATTTTATGCCTCAGAAAATCCCGGCGGCGCCGACTAGGATTGAACTGGGGTAAAAGGCAATCACGCTTATACTTATAGCGAATTCGTTTATTACCGGGGTTGAAACCAGTTCCAACCCAGTGCGAAACCGAACTTTTTGTCAGTGCGAACCTCAACCTGAGCTAGGTTTTAAAAACAAACGAGCAAACTGACGTTTGTCAGAAAACAAGCAGACCCAATCTTGATACCCGATCCAGGTTGGAACTGAATGATAAACGAATTCGCTATTAGTGTTCTAAATGCACTGCCACAGTTATTTATTGAGAACTTTCTATGCCAAGCTTAGTAATACCGTGCCTGTACCGTGACCTCCATCGTCGATGTCTTGAGAAGACGATATCAGACATTGTCAGACTAAATAAGGAAATTAACTCGACAAATGTTCGGAATCGGACCCCGAAAGACCAGTGTGGCAAAGGTAGACCCAGGGGTTCATATTGAAGACTCAATAATGAAATCAGTATCAGTATCGCCTTATGCACCAGATGAAGGTACTCAAGTCAGGATCTACGAGAGGTCATCAAAGCTATAAAATTTGACGTTATAAACTTACCTTCAAGCTTTAAGCTACGTTGAGAATCAGTTATCTCGATTAGACTTCAACGAATCTAGGCTTGTTTGAAATATTCCATTG